GATTTGGAATGATGAGCATCGGATATTGATTTGTTTTGATCGGTTGAATGATTTGATTTCTTGTTGGTGTTGATGCTGATTTGAAGCAGTTAAGGCGGACAAAATTGTTGATTTATATGTATAAATCTTCATCTTCTATTATTTTCGTTTCAAAATTTTGTCATTTATTCAAATTTGTAGTTTGATAATGTTTTATCGATCAGTAGTCAATAAAAGCATATTAAAGTAATGAATATTTCTCCGAAATGGAATCATTACGTGTTGTGCTGCAGTTGTAATGTGCTCTGGATTAAATGCAAATTTGGCTTGCTGATCAATTGCTACTTTAAATCACTGAGATTCTAATGTTCATACATGCTTCATACTTCTTTTGCACAAATCGCCTGTTCGATTGTCTCAATTGATTGCAATTCACTGAACCGTTCGTTTCATAGACTATTTGTTAAGCTTATTGATCAAATTCAAGGCTTATGGATTCGTATTTTCATTGTTATTACCGTTGTTATTACTATTATTATTATTATTATTGATGTGAATGCTGCACCGCTAAGTCATTTCATTCAACTTCTCCACATATGCTCATTGTCAGTGAAGCGCACATTTCGTCCTTTTATCTGTCTGTCGTGAAACGATTTTTTGATGAAATTGATCGTGTTTGGAACTGAATATAACACTGTTTTTTGAAGTGTTTTGATTGGTTTAACTTGCTTTTGAGACTCCACCAAGCGTTTCATTTTGAAGGTGCAAACGTCGTTGAATTCAACTTATACAGTCTCGTTGACGCCCTGAAAACCGTTGGCTTTTGAAGCATTAGAATGGCTGGTATCTGAAGAGGAGTCGAACTTCGGTGGAAATTGATTTGATTGATTTTGGCATAAGATAGTACTGAAATGGTTTTCGATTCTGTTCTCGAGGCATGCATTTGCATGTTTAAAACACAACTATTAAATAGTCCTTTAATTCGAATGGTATTGAATCAAGAAATTTGTCTGCTTAATGCTCTTTTATTGTTGCACATTTCATTTTATTATTCAATCTTGCATTATGTTTCCATGTTCGTGCGTAATGCTCTTCTAAACATTTTATCGAGCGAATAAACTCTTTCTTCCCCAATTCATTTGAAGGCCTACAATATACACTCAAACAACTATGTAAACAATTGTTAATTCTTTGATTGGAGTCATTAAAAATGTCGAGAACATAATCGTGATTTTGACATTGCAAAATTCGCTTGAGAACGCACTTTTTGACAGTACAAAATCGATTAACTTTGTTCTAAGAGAGGTAATGATGAAGTTGAAGGTTAGATGGAGTTTGACCGCAATATTTTTCTGTACACTTACATATCACTCATTCATGCGTTCTTCATCGGGCGAATAAACTTTCTCGTGAGATTTATTCGGTTACACCTTTATGATCACGTGCATATCAAGGGTCATTTCATTTGCTGATTTAAAAATGAGGCATACTGAGCAAAACATGATAAATATCCTATAAAACTGCATTCGTTAGAAGTGTGTAACCAGGCGAGAATTATTACACTGCAGCCGAAACGAATTTCATTCGACTGAATTTTATGGCGATATCGGGGATTTTTCTGGGCAAACCTGAGGCTAACATTAGTCTGAACTGTTAAAGTAATGTGAACATTGACCACTAGAGATGCAGTGTATTGACATGACTGCTGCTAAGATGATCGCTGAGCAAATGAGATTCATAGAAATGGATGATTCTGAAAATCATCCCTTTTTATGAATGTACGCAAAATCGCGCGACAATATGTGTACTTTGTTG